AAAAACTCCTCAGGAGGTGAGAAGCGTCAGTAGGCTCGTTCAAGATGAACTGCGCTGCACCAGGTTAAAATGGGAAGAAGCAGCGGATCTGTCGTGCAGCTGAGTGAAGTGGAGCCTGAGGAGGAAGCACCGATTAGCCCCGGTTGCACTACAGGCAGATTCACTCGCTACAGGGGCGAGGAAATAAAACCTGAACAGCCAATCAGAGTGATCTCTCTCACCGACAAGCTCCGCCACCAATGCTCAATCGGCCGAAAAGCCATCGACGTCGAAGTGCAGACACACTGCAAAAACTAGGCCAACAGACGCTCACCGACTGCCCGACTTTGACCAATGGCCAACCGTCGGCTTGGTGTGTCAGGGCCTTTAGAAATAAATATGATAGTGTGTCACATTTTAGGTAGGCTAGGCTTAAAGAATTTATCATGGGGGCTGCGTGTAAAGTACTGTATCCTGATCACACCGTTGTTCACAGTACAGTTGTTTGAGGTGCACAAAATTTAGAGTAGTTACTATGAAACTAATTGGGAATGAATGAAGAACTGACCATTAACTAATAGTTAGTTCATCATTTGTTCCTCATTAGTTCCTCAGTAACTACTCATTAGTTCCTCATTAGTTCCTCAGTAACTACTCTAATTTTGAGTACCTTATTGTAAAGTGTTACCGAGCCTGCTATGGTGGTTGCGTCTTGAAATGGTTCGCATTGATCAAACTGTGAGGAACGTAGTTTTCTAAGGATAGGCTGTATGAGTAAGCTACTTAAAATCAGCAAATACAACAGTTCTATCAGGAGGGACAGAACAATGAAAGATAAAGATAATAATTAATACTGAATATGAGTGTACAGATTAACAGATGATTTGTGCTGATTAAGATTTAACAGTCTTTGGCACTTGGACATCAGAGGGAGATATTTTGTGATCGAGAGACATCTAAAAGGCAGCAAGATAGATTCTGCCACAAGAAAGGTTCCCAATTTAAAGCACATTTTCAATTTTTTATGGTCATCCAATCAACATAAAGTTATTTTAATAAAAAGTACATCCCTCATGTCTTTGTGGGCAGCACAGTAAAATAAAAAACTGAGCTCAAACTCAATTTCACCTATCTCACTCGATAAACAAAGTATGTGCTGGAGTGGCATGAAACTTTAACCTCTGTAAGGTTAATAGCAATGTTCCTGGGTGTAATTGTGCACATAGAGATTTTTGTCTTGTGTTTAAATTATACTTCACGTAAGGTTCTACACTGTAGCCATTCTTGATGACAGTAAGTTCATAATTTTGGTTTATACTATATTTAAAAGATCGTTTTTATGCCTCCGTGACCGGATGCATTATGTTTTCAGATTGTCCATTTGTCCGCGATATCTCAGAATATGTTGTGGGAATTTCTGTAAATTTGGCACAAATTACCACTTGAACTTAATGATGAACTTACTGGTCATTGGTGGTCAAAGATCAAGGCCACTGTGACCTTGTCTAGTTCATTCTTGTCAACAAGATATCTCAAGAAGGCCTTGAGAGAATTTCTTCAACTTTAGCACAAACACCCACTTGGACTCACCGATGAACTGATTAAAATTTGGTGCTTAAAGTTCAAAGTCACGATGTCCTTGTGTCCATCTCATTTTATAAATGTGATATCTCAAGAAGATCTTAAGGGAATTTCTTCATATTTGGCCTAAACATCCACTTGGACCCAAGGATGAACTGATTAGAATTTGATGTTTGAACATCAAAGGTCAAGGTCACTTTGACCTCACAAAAAATGTTTTTGGCCAGAACTCAGGATTTCATATACTAATTATGACTCAATTTCACAAAAATGCCTAATAGGATAAAATAATGACGTGATGACATTTTATAACTTCACTGTATCATCATAATGGTACGCAAAAACACATTTTTGGCCATTATTCAACACCATATCTCAAGAACAGAAGGGGAGACATTTGGTCAGATACTGAATTGGTGACTTTAATCTTGGGTGTCCACCTTGAAACTGTGCTGATTGTATAGATCTTCTGTGCCGCCAGGGGGAAGATGTGTGTGAAGTGTCCATGTTTTCACAGACATAGATGTAAATCATAGATTGTATGCAAAGATGGATGACACATCTCCACTTACCCCCACTGTACAGAGAGGAAGCTAAAATATTATTGATACAGTCACTGATATCTTGCTCTAATAATGTAATTTGGAGCAAAGTCTGCGCAGTAGCAATCTCCGCTATATTAAGTTTCCCGCCCATACACCCGTCCAAACAACCACTAACAGTGCCACTGAATGCAAGCATACCAATTGGCTCACACAGTTGTCAATCATGTTGTAAAATCCCTGTTTTATAGCATTATAGGCCTATAACTAATTAAAACCAAACATGGGGTGTCGGTGGCTTAGTGGATCGAGCCGGTGCCCCATGTACAAGGATGTTGCTGCAGCGGCCGGGGTTCGATTCTAGCCTGTGGCCCTTTGCTGCATGTCACTCCCTCTCTCCCCACCTCACATTTCGCTTTCCTATCAATTAAAGGCAAAAAATGCCCCCTAAAAATATCTTTAAAAAAAAATGTATAAGAAAAACAAACACACAGCATGATAAAAACTATGTTAAATGACAGAGACCATCTTTGGGGAAAATTTATTTGATGTGTACTTTTAGTTTTTAGTTTGGCCAATGACCCATCCACTAACATGGAGTGGGCAGGTTTTATGACCTACACTGCAGCCGGCCACCAGGGGGCAATTAAGATATTTCGACTTCACTTTGGGTAAATCAAAATTTTGAACATTAAACCTTGTAATGGGCCAGCCTCGAAGTGATCTATGTTTTTCTCTTAAATTGCATACGGATGTCAGAGGTAGGTGTTGAAGTCTTACTCTCTTGACAAAAAGTTACATATTTACTCATTTTAAACCATAATTCTTATTTATATATTTATATTTTAGGCTTGCGGGACTGCTGGAGGGCTTGTGGGAGTTTACTCATCCAGTCTATGTGTGCTTTGTGGATTTGCAGAAGGCCTACAACAGCTTCCCTCAGGGAGTCTTGTGGGGGATACTGCAGGATTATGGGGTACCAGGGATGTTCATATGAGCCATCCGGTCCCTGTATGACCAAAGTGAGAGCTGTGTCTGTGTATTCATTGCTTTAAGTGAGGGAGTTTAAGTATCTCAGGGTCTTGTTTATAAATAAGAGTGGAATGGAGCATGAGATGGACAGAGAGTTTGGTGCGGCATCTGCAGTGATACAGGTGCTGCGCCGGACCATCGTGGTGAAAAGGGAGCTGAGCTGGAAGGTGAAGCTTTTGATTTACTGGTCCATCTACATCCCAACCCTCACTTATGGTCATGAGCTCTGGGTAGTTACTGAAAGAACGAGATCGCAGATACAAGCAGCCAAAATGAGTTCACTCTGTAGAATGGCTGGGCTCAGCCTTAGAGATGGGGTGAGAGGCTCAGGCATGTGGAGGGAGCCCGGATTGGAGCTGCTGCTCCTTCAGGTCGAAAGGGGTCAGTTGAGGTGGTTCAGCCATCTGATCAGGATCCTCCTGGGTGCCTCTCATTAGAGCTGTTCTGGACTTGCCCCACTGGTTAGAGGCCCTAGGGTACACCCAGAACACATAGGAGGGATTATAAATCTCATCTGGTATGGGAACACCTCGGGATCCCCCAGGAGGAGAAAGCGTTGTGCTTTGCTTGGCCTGCTGCCCCCATGACAAAGCCTCTGGATAAGCAGATGAAGATGGATGGGTGGATGGATGGATCATTCTTATTTAGTTTGGATTTAAAAAGGCTGCAGAGTTGACCTGTTAAGACTGAAACACACCAGATAACAATATTTAATTAATTTATCAGAAATTAGAAATTTCACATGTACATGAGCAGCATTCCTGCCTTTTTGGAAACCAGGGAGTGAGACAGGATTCCTTAGTATATAACTAACTCCTTTTATGCCTGATTAAATGATGTTTTTGTAGAAATCTGAGTTGACAAAAATGTGGGACACATCTTCAAATGTCCAACATTTCCAGAGATTTTTTTTTTAAATCAATATGATTTTTACAGTACATTTTTACATTGATGTTATCAGTACTGTTAGTTTTAGATTTTGAGGCTTTTAGCACATGTTTCAATAGTTTAAAGTTATGAATTCTTGTCTGGGACAAGGCAAGTTTAAAAGTTAATCTGAGGCAGATCAAAATATTTTTTTAAATCATATAAAACCTTTTAAAATAATGTTTCAGCCCAGAAACTGAGTAAGTGTGGGCTTTTTTATGTACAGTAATGTACAACAAAGCCTTGTATTTCATGTGCCCATTATAGGTTCATCTGTAAAGTATCTACAGCTGTCAGATAAATGTAGTGGAGTAAGAAAGTACATGATTTTCCACTTAGATGTAGTGTGAGTAGAAGTAAAAATTTGCAGAATTAAAAATACTTATGTTAAGTATCTCTAAATTGTACTGAAGTACAGTGCTTGAGCACCTTACTTACCACCACTGATCACAGGTCTGATCTGGATCAGTTTATGTGGCATTATTTGTTGTTGACCCTCCTTCTTTTCTGGATTGGGAAATCTTTAGTGAAAAGAGCCATGAAATAACCATCTTTGTGATGACCAAGGGTCTTAAGCGAGAGTTTTTTTGGGGCCAGCTGTCTCAAAGAGAACACAAACCTAACCTGGTGTCATGTGACGGGCAGCTGCTCTGTGACCTCCTGAAGGAGAATGCTTGATTTGGTAGACAAATATCTATGGAAAGCTGAAAGGCTCTGTGTGTATGCTGCCCAGTACAGCTGGCATGGAGACATGCCATCAATGCAAATGGTCTTTCAACAAAGTCATGACGTAAATCCTGTAACACCCCTCAACACACACACACACACACACACACACACACACACACACACACTCACACACCCTGTCCAGCCTAAGCCTCTTTTTGATAGATGTGCTCACTTGCTTTGACTTCAATTCAGATATGTACCTGACAGATATGCTGGAGTACAGTCAGATTTTTGTTTGCTAGTTGCAGCAAAGTTGACAGGTTAATCATCTGCTTCCTGTATAATGCTGAATGTAAAGCCAAGGTAAGAGCTTTTTATTCATGTATTTTTATCTTTGTGTGAGAGATCTTTACCGAGGCTCGATCTCACTACGTAGCAATTACCTGTACTATGGACTGTATTCTAATACTATCTAATACTTATTTCTAATATATTTGTGTAAAAAGCACCTTACAGTATTTCTATGAAAACACTCATCTGACTTGATATGTTGAATGGTGCAACAAACATCCTCCAAATTCCTCCACAGAGTTACATCTAAGATAGTGGTGTCCTTGTTATTGTAATATAAACCCTCAGCCTTTCAAAGTCAGAATGAAATGCTTAATCAGTCAGTCTAAGAATGTTCTGCTATTCTTGCAGTAAATAATAAGGAACAGCACAATACTGTTAGTAGGAAATGTACTCTTTCACAGGCAAAAGAACAGACAGCTAATGCACATATTAACATATATTTTATATCATCTAGGTGGACTGCAGGGAGATTTCTCTACTTAAATGAATAAGTGACTGCTGTGAAAAATCAAAGTAAGTAAATGGGTAATTTTAATTGGGGAAGTGGTGTGTGAAAATAGTTTTCTCTCCCTGGAAAAACTCATACTGCACGGAGTTAAACACTGAAAAATCTTGAACTTTGCGATGCTCAAAAAAAAAAAGAACATATCGACACAACAGAGATGGGCGGAAATACATCTGTATTCAATTCAATTTTTCAATTTTATTTAAAAAGCCCAATATCACAAATCACAATTTGCCTCACAGGGCTTTACAGCATACGACATCCCTCTGTCCTTAGGACATTTGTGTTACATATTTCAAATACTTGCTCATCAAATGTATAAAAATAAAATACTGGCACGAGAAAATGTAGTTAATTAAAATACTATATAAGTAATTTTCTGTATTTTCTATTCCATACAAACTGATATTATCACATTTTAAGCATTATGTAGCCTTGATATAGGTGTGTCTCTAACCTGATGGTTCAGCTTTTTTGAGGTAGGGTTATATGGAGCAACTTACCCATAGTCAGTGTATTACATGCACTACACAGCAGTCGTCACGCCCCAAATTTGGAGAAGCTGACATTAAAACTAAGTAATCTACTGCTGTGGATGGGGGCCAGCAGCAAAATGTATTTTAGCCACATCAGGAAAACAATATCAGTTTAAATGTATGGTATATTGAGAGTATTTTCATGGCTTTACCTCTCATCAGACAGCCCGTTCTGATGGGGAAGCTTCAGTTCCCCATGTATGCTCTTTTCAAAGCCAACAGACTCCATTGACAAAAACAGTAATTTTAGCTCACTGATTGTGGAAGCTGCTGATCTACCTCTGCTTTGATTAGTTTGTTAGTTTGTGTTACTGTGTGACTTTTGTGAATCTGAACTAACCCTTTAAAAGACTAAAGTCACACAACATCACAGACAAAAAACTGTTGAAGGCAGTGGTAGACCAGCAGCTCCTGAATACAGCAATGTTTAATCACAGTTTTTCTCACTGGAGTCTGGCTTTGAAGAGCACGATATATCGGCTTCATTTTACAGTTGGAAATCGTTGTCTGATCGTGAGGTAAGGCAGTAAAAAATACCTTAAACATAGAGTTCCCTTAAACTGATATTGATTTTTTTTAGGTGGGACCCCTTTAAGGTGGCTAAAATATGTTTTGTTGCTGACCCCTTCACAGCAGTAGATTGCCAAGCTTCCACATCAGACTCCAGCCTGCCTCTCCAAACTCGGGGTGTGCCGACTCACATCTACTGTACTTAATAAACCGTCTTTGGATGAGTACCCCATATAACCACACTTTAAAAAATCTGAACCTTCCCTTTAACCCCCTACACTGAAAGATAGCGCTGCTAGATTTGAAGTGGCTAATCAGGATATCTTGGAGGAGGGAAGCTGTGAATTCAGGGGTGCATGCTGGGTAGTTTCCTAAGTCATAGTGACCACTGACTGAATGAACAGCCAATTAAAATGCAAGCGGGGTAACTGATCATATAGACCACAGTGATGCACCAATTCATTTAGATGACAATAAGACCGGGCATTTAGCAGATGCCTTTTTTCCAAGAGTGATAAATATGTACAGTGAAGTAAGTAAATTTCAAATATCCTCAACTTCACAAGGTACCAACTGAATGAGTGCAAAAGAAATAAAACAGTACTGCTACAGCAGAGTGTGACACAGGACAAAATAGTATATGAAAAAGAAAAGCATACATCACTAATACATATTATGTATTTCAAATACAAGTTCTTAAAGTATTTGGTTATAAATTACATCCAATTTTTTTCTGTCCAGCAAAACACAAATTATAAAATACTCAAAAGCAATTAATTACATGTTTTTAATACATTTAATTGGAACACTGCCCACTTCTGCCACCCAACAATCAACAAAAATGGACACTGTAAGCTAAAAAATAATAATTATCATTATTATTATCATTATTATTATTATTATATTATGTATATGGCATTGAGGTGTTCTTGTTATTCTGTCCAACTCTTATGGATTAGTAAATGTAGCATTTGAGTGTATGCAGCTGTGGTTACTGTATGCTGATTTCAGTCTGCTGGTGTACATAAATAGACCAATGTTTATAACCACAGTGCAATAAGGGTGAAAAGGAAGCCGTGTCATAACCCAACAAGAAAATGAGGTAGGCGTGACCTAAGCCACATCAACTGACCGACACTGGGTATATACTGCCACTGATATGGGCAGGATGTCAGCAGGGCACTGTTACAAGAGGCAGTGAAAACCACCAAGTCATTGTTTGTACTCATAGTCCAAATTCAAAGTGATGCAAACAAGTTTGGATGGAAAACAGATAACTGCTGATAAGAAGTTCTGCGGAAAACATATTCAAATATAGTGTTGCTAAAGAACTACTGCACAAGTCAAATAAAACTATATGACAGTAAGGTTACTTTTACTGAAACACTGTGTGAACTGAACAGACATTAAAAAGTCTATTACATTGTTAAATTTGATTTTTATGTTTTTCTAAAGGCCCTAGTACTTTTTTGTTTTCAACCTTGACAGTGACAGGTGTATTCTCACATATTATAAAAGAGTCTGTCTTGTAAGTCTTAATGTCTGTTTCCCAACTGATCATGACTGAGCACATAAACTGTCCTGGTTAACACATTCTCACTCCAAGCTCGTCACATATTGACGTGCTTGGTCATGGACATTCCACTTCCACATACGATGTGCAAGGTATCCTGGGTGCATTGGGTGTTGACATTCTGGGACACCGTGTCAATACCGTGTCAAGATACACTCCCATTTTCACAGGAAATTTAACGTTTACATACAGTCTATTTCAAAATAAACGCACTACGTTGTTACAATGCCACGAATTGACTTTTTTTTCCCTTCAACAACAAAGACACATGGTTGGGTTTAAGCAACACAAAAACACATGGTTATGTTTAGGCAACAAAAGCAAGTGGTTAGGTTTAGGAAAAAATAACAGGGGTTGGTTTTAGAATCTTACAGGACGTGAAGACTGCTCTCTCAGGTGATAGTCGATGTTTGTTGGATCCATCCACCACCCCTCCTGCTGGTCACATTCAGACTTTTGCCGTCTTAACTTTCATCCTTGTGCCGCCGCATTTCCCCCTGATGCCGCCGGGCACCGTTAAACTATAACAACAACTGGCTGCGTATCATGCCAACATTATTGGAAGCCTTTTTTTGTCGGTTTCTGACACCACAAGTCACTGCCCAAGCACCAGATTTGGACGACTTCAGAGTGAGACCGGGCTCTCCTAGCTGGCAAAAGTACTCAAGAGGAGACAAAAACACTGCAGAAAAACACTGAGCATCAGCAACTTGGAATTCAGAGGTCCATACTACGAAGCCAGTTCAACTTACCCAGGATATCTTTTGTTATCAAGCTTGACTAACCAGTCACATTGGCCATCTGGATAACTGCTACTACAAAGCTGGTGGAAAAGTAGCTTAGTTAATGACTGATGAGGTCCATCTAACCCAAATGTTGCATTTAAAATAGCAGGAGCCAGTTAACAGTGTGTGGATTATTTTTCTAAAAATATTTTCCTTTTTTCCCCTAGTTCTCATCATACAGGTGTCTCATGTTATTCCAAGCAGCAGTGATGGAATCAGAGAATTAAATATCAACACTATCACTGTGGACTAAAATAAACTTTGCTTAAGTTAAAATCATGTGTTCAGTGTGTATTCAGTCTCTACATTTGTCCATAGTGGAACCAGTGGAAATAGAGCCCTGAAACAATGAAATGACCTGCTATTACTGCTGAGATCTAACACTATGTAGGTTATTCTTTCTTACCTGAGACTCCGGACTTTTGTCCATGAATACTTTCCTCTTCAGTGATCTGATTGGTCAGAGGTCAAGGTTTTGACACGCTTAAATATCTGTCCATTGGGATGGAAATGGCTGTGATCCGATACTCTTAAGATAACCTGCTCTGTAGCAGGTTATCTGTTCAGCATATGTTACCAGCGATTTAACCCGGTAAAAAGAGAACAAGCTTTGTGGTACTGAAAAGTAGTGATGGCCAAATGAAACCCACATGAAACATTTTCTTTTTTTCCTGAGCCCACTAGATGGTGCTCTTGGTTTAAGGAGAGAGGCTCAAAAAATGGCAATTCAGTGTGCTGTCAACCTTTAGTTGAACAAAAAGTGCCATCTAGTGGGTGCAGAAAATAAATAAAATGCTTCATGAGGCTTCATTTGGCCATCACTGCTGAAAACCCAGAGTTAACCCTGAAGTTACCTCATTACTCCAAATCCTGCTTCCTAGTACAGGCCTCTGGTTTAAGCTGTGAAGATCCCCTGTCCATTCCAATTTCCAGTACTTCTAGGATGTCTAGATCTATGATTACTGTCATCTGACTGCACCCAAATGCACACGACTTATTTGATGGGATGTCTGTAAGCCAATCACAGTGTTCTACTCAACTATCAACTAAAGTAGACTGCAGTAGAGCCACGCCCCCCTTTTTTTTTTTTAACAAGCATGGCTGACCATCATGCAAGGAGGAAGTGCAAGGCACGTTTCAGTCTATAAATTGTATTGTTGAACCCGTTCTCATTCAGAAGAATGTTATTCCAAGCAGCAGTGATGTCACATATCGTCATTTTGTCAGTCGCCTTTCACTTCTATAATATAGAATATATATGCAATTGTGAGCAAATGCTTTTTTTAGTCACCTTGTTCTTTAATTGCTGCTAATGTTAGTTAACCTCCCTCTCTCACCAGAGTAACAATGCGTTGTGGGGCATTTCTCTTTCTAATTGGAGCTGTGCACATTTGTTTACAGGTAAAGATATTTTTAAGTCTCATTGGTTATACATTTTGACAGAAATGTCACTAAGTGTATCTTGTTTAAAATTCTACTTAAATTTTATTTCTATATCATCTCATTCTGACTAAAAAATTGAAATGACAAAAAATAATTTGTATGTTAATCTATGTTCATTTGGAATGCTAAAATAATAATAATAAAAAAAAAAAGTATATATTTTAAGGACATAAGATTGAATCTCGCCCATGACAGACTAGACTAATTCAGTGATGCCTGTTTTTGCCATTGCAGGTCATTGCAGCAGGTGAGTTGCTCAGCTACATACTGGACGCTTCAGTAAAATACCTCAAAAAACTTCTTGAAATTGGGCCAAGATTAAAGGTCTGATCTTACCAGCATCTTAATAGTGCTGACCTTGAGAGGACAGAGAGCCAGGGAGTCTGAAATGGGCTGGCCATTGGAGCCTATTACTGTAGCTGTTTACAGCATTCACTTTACTTAAACAGCCTCTATCAGAGTAAATCCCCATGACAGAGCAATGGTTTGTGGACAGCTATGAGACTAGAGTTGACTGTACAAATATGTCTTTTAAATAAATGATGTACAGTGGTGGGCAAAATGCCAGGGAGGGTAAACAGAAAAATGCTTTTCTGTAGGCCAACACAGAAGTTAGTATACCCCTTGTTCCGTCATCAAAATGCCTAGCTATTTCTTTTCCACTTGATTTTGGATTGTTGCAGAAAATAAACTCTGTGGCAGACAAAAGTTTATGATACTTACACATTTTGTTCAGCAAGATCATTTCTGAAGCATAAATGCAATTGCCAGAAGTAAAAAGCTAACTTTAGGCTATACACAAATGACACCACATCCACATGACAAAAAGTCACCACCACAACTTGACTGTAAAGCTATATTTGGCATGATGACATTCTGTAGTTTCACTTAGCCACGTGTGAGGAACCACCTTTTTCAGACACATAAAACCTTCAAAATTCACACAAGAGTATTTACTGATGTAGTTTATGTTGTAGAATAAAACGTGAAAGTCTCTTAAGCTCTTGTGAACCAATTGTCAGAATTATACAGCAGTTGGGCTACTTCTCAGAGAAACAAAATAAAAAGAAAGTGCCAGTCTTTACAATAGCTACTGTAAGCTGGTTAGCAGTTGGCGGCAGCCAGTACTTTGAGTAGTCACTACATCACCAATCTTTTAAGATAAAATAAATAATAAATAATAAGATAAATATATTGCAAAATTTATAGACAATTTTTAATATTCTTACTGTAACCTATCAGTTTCTGGTGAGACCAGGCCTTTTCACTTGAAACACTGAAATGAAATTTAGATGGCACTGTCATCTGTAACTGTAGCATGTTAACAATTTATCATGCAAGATAAGAACAAAAACTTTTCTTATAGTCTTTGAACTACAGTGGCATGCAAAATTTTGGGTACCCCTGGTCAAAATTTTGTTTACTGTGAGTTGTTAGGTAAGTAGGACATGAACTGAGCTCCAAAAGACAAAATGTTAAAGATGACACATTTCTTCAATATTTTAAGGAAGATTGCTTTTTAATTTCAATCTTTGAAAATTTCAAATTAACCAAAAAGGAAAAAGGCCTGAAGAAAAAGTTTGGGCACCTTGCATGGTCAGTACTCAGTAGCGCCTCCTTTGACAAGTATCACAGCTTCTAAACACTTTTTGCAACCAGCTAAGAGTCTTTCAATTCTTGTTTGGTGGATTTTCACCCATTCTTCCTGTGAAAGGCTTCTAACTCTGTGAGATTCTTGGGCCGTCTTGCATGCACTGCGCTTTTGAGGTCTAGCCACAGATTTTTAATGATGTTTAGGTCTGGGGACTGTGAGGGCCATGGCAAACCTTCAGCTTGTGCTTCTTTGAGGTAGTCCATTGTGGATTTTGAGGTGTGTTTGGGATCATTGTCCTGTTGTAGAAGCCATAATCTCTTCATCTTCAGCTTTTTTATAGATGGCGTGATGTTTGCTTCCAGAATTTGCTGGAATCTAACTGAATCTATTCTTCCCTCTACCTGTGAAATGTTCCCCATGTCACTGGCTGCAACACAAGCCCAAAGCATGATTGATCCACCCCTGTGTTTGGACAGGTGTTCTTTTTATTAAATTCTGCACCCCTTTTTCTCCAAACACACCTTTGTGTCCAAAAAGTTCTATTTTATCTTCACCAGTCCACAGGACTTGTTTCTAAAAAGCATCAGGCTTGTTTAGATGTTCCTTTGCAAACTTCTGACGCTGGATTTTGTGGTGAGAACACAGGAGAGGTTTTCTTCTAACGAGTCTTCCGTGAAGGTCATATTTGGACTACCCTGCATTCTCAGAGCGCAGTGTTCTGGTGGGATAATAGGGCACTATAAGATCTCTAAGTTATGATGGAGCCTGACCATTTAGAGCTTTATAAGTTAGGAGTAGGATTTTAAATTCAATTCTGTCAGTACATGTGCTGCTGCGTTCTGAATTAGCTGGAGAGTTTTTAAAGATTTATTAGGGCTACCTGATAATAGAGAGTTACAGTAATCCAGCCTAGAGGTAACAAAAGCGTGGACCAATTTTTCTGCATCTTTTCGGGTCAGGATAGGCCTAGTTTTCGCAATATTATGCAGATGAAAAAACGCAGTCCGTGAGGTTTGTTTTATATGAGAATTAAAAGACAAATCTTGGTCAAATATTTCGCTGAGGTTTCTTACAGTAGTGCTAAAGTTCAGAGCAATGCCATGTAGAGAAACTAAATCATCAGATAAAGAGTCTCTGAGTTGTTTGGGGCCAAGAACAATAACTTCAGTTTTGTCCGAACTTAACATAAGGAAATTGGTGCTCATCCAGGTTTTTATGTCTTTAAGGCATTTTTGAAGTTTAGTTAATTGATCAGTTTCTTCTGGCTTTATCAATAAATACAATTGTCATCCACATAACAATGGAAATTTACAGAGTGATTTCTAATGATGTTACCTAAAGGAAGCATATATAGAGTAAATAGGATTGGTCCGAGCACAGAACCTTGCGGAACTCCAAAACAAACTTTGGTACGTAAGGATGATTCATTATGAACGTCAACAAACTGAAAACGATCAGATAAATAAGATTTAAACCAGCTTAGTGCAGAACCTTTTAGGCCAATTAAGTGTCAAACGCCGCACTAAGATCTAATAAAACAAGTACAGAGACGAGTCCTTTGTCTGAAGCAATCAGAAGGTCATTTGTAATTTTAACTAGAGCTGTCTCAGTGCTATGATGCACTCTAAATCCTGACTGAAATTCCTCAAATAAATTATTATCATGGAGAAAATCACACAGCTGGTCTGCAACTACTTTCTCAAGGATCTTTGAAAGAAAGGGAAGATTAGATATTGGTCTATAGTTGGCTAACACCTCTGGATCCAGGGTGGGCTTTTTTAGGAGAGGTTTAATTACAGCTACCTGAAATGATTGTGGTACATAGCCTGTTAATAAGGATATATTGATCATGTCTAATATGTGAGTGTTAAGGTAAGACCTCCTTAAGTAGCCTAGTTGGGATGGGGTCTAAGAAACTTGTTGATGATTTAGATAACTAACTCCTCATAACTAACTCATTTTTTAATTACATTATGAACTGAGGAAACAGCTACCTGAAAACACTTTGTCATCTTCTTATAGCCTTCTCCTGCTTTGTGGGCATCAGTTATTTTCGAGTGCTAGGCAGCTGTTTAGAGGAACCCATGGCTGCTGATTGTTTGGACAAGGTTTCAGGAGTCAAAGTATTTATAAAGCTTTGAAAGTGGCATCGCCTGGCCTTTCCTAACAATGACTGTGAACAAGCCATAGTCCTAACAAGCTATTATGGTCTGAGACCCTGGTAAAAGTTGTCTGAGAGATCAAATGTCTTGGGGTGCCTAAACTTTTACATGGTGCTCCTTTCCTTTTTTCACTCAAAAATTGTACAAAACAGAAATAATGCACTAATCTTGCTTAAAATATTGAAAAGCACCTTTCATCTTTAACTTCATGCCTTTCAGAGATCAGTTCAATTTTTTGCAATGAGAGGTCGAAGTGTATTTATAAGCATCTACTAGCATTTAGCATTGTCGCGCTAATCAGGGCGTCATTTCATGCTGTATTTCTGTTGGTTGGTTTGTAGAAATAGGTTGTAAAAGCAATCAGACAATTAAATGGTAATCCCAAATTTCTGACAGTGTCAGAATTTTATCCCAGGCTGTCTTTGATTGCCAGACCATGACAATGGCCATCCTTGAAATACATCTATTAAGTGCATAAAAAAGTCTTAGAACTTAAACCTGTGAAAAGCAAAAACAAGAGTGTTGAATTTAAATTTTCCATTCAGTATACAATGTATATTGTTTTGGGGTGAACTATTCCATTAAATTCATTTTCAATTCTACAGAGATGTTAAAAAGACACAAAGATAATAAAAATTTCTCATGTTGCTATAGAAAATGTCTACATTGCGGAGCTGATGGTGGAAAGTAACGTCACACTTGAGGCCCAGACCCTCTTGTCAGCTTGGAATAAAACTGACCTTCAAGTGAACCAAACCATCACAGTGACCGTCTCAACCCCTGAACTGGTAGCAGGTATCATGCTGAAGCGTTTTCTTCTTTCTTTGATTGCTCTAAACAGTTCTCCTTTTATGTAGTGAGTGGCAAATGAATGGAGGTGGGTGGCATCCAGCATAGTTAAGTGTGCACTGCACAGTTATTGTTATGTGAAAGAAATCCAAATTTCAGCAATATAAAGACACATTAAGTACTCCATATCTTAGAGTTTTGAAAAGTCAGGAATCTCAGGACCTGCCATAATGAATTATTGGTATTAGACAGTTTTAGATTAGGACACAGATTCAGGAATTCGAGGTAACGTGGGAGCGTAGAGGAGCTGTTGTGCACACTGTGTCATTTTGGCACCTCCCAAAGGTCTTTCATTTGCTCCGTCTTCAGTAGTATTTTAACCTGCTTCCTCCTGCTAAAGAGACACTGTAATCATCTGTTCTGGGCCCCTAAGCCCTACAGTCAGTCAGTAACCAGACGTTTTGTGACCCTAAAGCCATATTACCTAAACACATGCTGGGGAAAGGATAGAAAGTAGTCATGGGTTTGGGATGTATCATGGAGGTTAATCGAAGATCCAAAAGCAAAAGTAGTCATAGTTGTTTACTTATTACCCTTCTTTATTAGGTTTCAAATCTAAGGTTCAGGTCAAGGTCAAGAAAGGGCAGTACTATTGAATTTGTGCCTGTACATTATTATTATTATTATTATTATTATTATTATTTGTCATCTTGTGCCTCTTCTCATTGCCATGAGCTAGAGACATGAAACTTGGTCCAATAACTGAAAATGATGTGCAAATGCTTTGCCAAAGGCAGGGCTAAGGTGAAAATAGGATCAAGTTATCTTGGAGCCATCCTGATTAAACTCAGTGGACACATCCTTCACTAAGTCCTGAAAGTACCCACCAAGTTCCGTTTACATTTGATAAAAAGGGATCAAGACCTGAGACTTTGTGTGGAATTATTGAAATGCTGCATATATTGTAATGATGTAACAAGTGTGTCATTTGTCTCACTCCTTCTTCAGACAGAAATAAACCAGCTTTCCTCAGTTTTAGTGAGCCCAAAACCCACTCATTGCCGCTCACAGCTTTGATTTTAGCAACTGAGCTGCTTTTTTCTGTTGGCCAATAAAGTGCCTGAACCTGGGATTGCTGCTTGTGGCTATATTTCGATTTATTTTACATAGAGAGTAAGAGGGACCTGTTTCACAAAGCAAATACTATTTTTTAAGAATGTAAACCTTACACTGGAGATCCTGAATAACTAATCTTACAAAGCTAGTTACCTTAATTCTGATAAATATGGGTTTACCAAACCAACTACAGGCTAATGCAAGGGAAAGACACAAATGACTAATCATAAGCAACATCAACAGATCCAGAGCAGTGTAATTATTGAGATGAATTAAATATTGATCACTTCTCTGAAATCCATTCACTGCAAAAGTAAAAAGGTAAGACAAAAGTTACCAAAAAAAAGCACAGCACTAAAATATAAATTTAAGCAATTAAACTCTGCATTTATTTGTAGACCCCTCAAGGGCCGACGTCACAATGACGTTATTTTAGTAGCTGGAGGCAAAACACGACTCTCCACGACAGGGCTGTAATCTACATAGGAGTCTTAAAATGTCATCTTGTGTAACTGGGTAGCAGAGTGGAAGGAGTCATGGCTCAAAACTTAAATTCTATTGTATAGCCGCCACTGCCCGTCAACAAAAACAAGACAACTATGGTTAAATGTGATAAGATGAAATGGCTGGATGGAGGCAATCATTAAAAATGCTCATATGTGCAGCACACACTTTATATCTGGTTAGGGAAAAAGTATTTACAAAGTATTTATAAAGTATTTACTGTTGTAGGGATGAATAATGTTATGTGTATTAAAGGTTATCATGTTCACCTAATCAGAAATTGGGGAGGTATTTAGAGGAATATTGGATTTCTCTGTAATTCTAACAAACCACAGGAAACCGTTCAAGTGTTGTCCTCCTTTGTAAGATTGGCATAATAATCAACCACATAGCCAGCCATCCCACCTTCAGCAATCCTGTCAAATCATCAATCCACTGAGTGAGAGTATACGGGTCGGCCAGTCTGGTTACGTTTGTCAGCGTTTACTTTTTCAAGTAACACTTGCGGTCCCAGAGAGTGACTGACCTGATATGGTGTGTTTGTAAATTCAGTCTGACGCTCTACACTAAAATGAGAGCCCTGTTGGTCAAAGAAACTGAGCGTTATATATCTATATGAATTGACGAACAGTTAAGTTAATCATGCACTCCGCTCTGTGCTCTGCTGCTCTGTTTCCCCAGACAGAGTGCCTAAAGTGTGCTCTGCCATTCCGAGAGTGCGGTGCTCTGGATAACTGACCGGGACATTCCAACGGCGCTCCAAATTTCTAAACAGCCCAGTTTATGCAAGAGTGTCCTCTGGCACTCGGAGAGAATATTTCTGAATGCACCACTCGCATTATCTTTCTCCATTGTCTAAAACAAGCAAACAGAACTTGCTAGCTAGCACCAGTTAATGTCTGTGAAGAAGACGTCTGTTGTTTTGACTCCAGCTAAGCCTAAGGTCTATTCCAATGTACACTGCATTTAGAAAGTATTCAGACCCCTCACTTTTTTTCACAGTTTGTGAAGTTGCAGCCAAGTGGCAGCCTCCGGGGCTGAAAAATGAAGCCAACATGGAAGTGCCAAAAACTGCATCATATCACATCAGTATCATATGTCATAAAAATGTAACATAATATGCCATAAAATGCCATTAAAAAGTCATAATACAGCATCCTATAAAATGTCTTAGTATAATAATTATGTCATAAAAATGTCATTAAAAAAGTCAGTGTGTGCACTTTTTTTGTGAAGCCCTCACTTATATGCTGGGGTGGATCTGACTTACTGACTGTAGTGATGCCTCGAACACAGCCTGTTGCTCAAGCAGCCCCGCCCATGAATATACCTATCTTTAAGCCTTTATAAAATTAAAATGAGGGAGTAATAAAATCAAATAACCCCCATGTACAGCTGTCATGAATACTCAAATTGGCTACAAAGACCAAAGCCATTTTTTGTATCAGGCTGTTTATTTCTGCTGTAAAGTTGGGCATATTAACATGGGGTCTATAGGGATCGACTTTGTTTTGGAGTCAGACTCATGCGGCCATTTGATAAACTGCAGTTTTTGGCACTTCCATGTTGGCTTTACTTTTCAGCCTTAGAGGCTGACTCTTGGGATTTGACAATTGTGCTTCTCCATCCAGAGTGCCGGATTGTTGGAGATGAATCAACCTGCAACTGCAGTACTGGGTACATTTGGAGCAATGAAGTGTGCTACAATTACAACTGTTGCCGTGAAACTTCTTGCACACAAAATGTGTCCCACATTACACCACTCTGCGTTGCCAAAGTCAAAGGTAACAGCCCTAATAGATAGATGTCCCTCCTTTAATAAAAGTCACTGTAATCTGAAAGTGTCCCTGTGTATAGCACTACTGTGCTGATAGATTTTATTTATGTTCTTTACTTTTTCCCATGTGGACAAATGTGCTTGTTGATATATTTGAACTCAACCAATGATGATGTTTGCAACCAATACAGTTCGCATTACTGGATCAGTAACAAAAGGCACTTGGGATTCATCCATAGAAGGCAAGGTACATCTCACTGTCATCACAAATGTATATTTATGCATTCTTGAAGATGTCTGCCACTGTAATACATGAGTCACATATAAATGATCTCATGCTTTTTCTTTTCGAAGCTTGAAGCTGAATTTGGAAGGCTGAATGGCTTTGAGTTCCTGAATGTAACTGAACTGAGGTATTGTACTTTGCAATGATATGGACTTTTACATGTCATTATTTTTTATCAAAGAAGACCTTTGACTGAGATGAGTGGTACAACAGCACCTTTAACTGTTTGTGACTAGGGTTGGGAATCTTCTGGCACCTCATGGTTCAATTCGATTCCGATTCCAATACAGAGGGCAACAACTTGATTATAAAATGGTTATTGATGAATCTCAATGCATTAATATTTTCTATTTCTATAAGTTATTTTTCCTCACTGTGTGACTACTTGATACTTTTAAAACGTAGCATATTGTATTCCTTAGTGATCCATAATAAAATTTAAATATAAAAGATTGATTTACTTGCATACAGTTTGGCTCTTGTACAGGTCCCTTTTCCCTTCAACCTTAAAGCAAAAATGCTTCTATACCCGAGCTTTAAAACCAGTCGGATTGTATCCATCTGCGGTTGTTTAGGGTAACCCACTGTGGGATATTTTCCCCAGCATAGTATTTGTGTACTGTAATATTTCACTGGAAATAGTTTGCAGTTCACATACTCTTAATGGTTTGCAGCCTTTTTATTTAAAAGTTGCTTGCATTAATGAATGAATTACTTCATATGAAAGCATCTTACAGTCTCTTGCTAGTATAGCAATAACAAAATAAGGGGGAGGTGGCTTGCTGCGCTGTGTCGTTTAATGTCCCCAGTGGTGGAGAGCAGCTTCTCTGTTGCAACTTCAACCCTGGGGAAAGCCAAGACTCTGAACAGGCTGGGCAAAGGAGTTTTTGAGGTGAAACCGACTGAGCATAGAGTTTCCAGGGTTACCAAGTGAACATTTACAGAACATTTTAACAAGACATTCATGAGCTATTGTACAATAATGGTTAGCGGGCAAATGTTGAGCTCAGTTTTGATGGATGGTAGTCTTGTCTACAGTTTGGGTGGAGCCTGGAAATTGGCTTAAGTCCAATTTTAACTCATTACAATTTGAGATAGCTTCTATAATGGCACCTGAACAAAACTAAGAGTCTACACTAGAGGATGACAATGCTAACATGCTGATGCTTAGCAGGTAAAATGTTTTCCATGTTGACCATCAGACACACCAAACCAACATCAAAGTGGAGACTGCCTGTTTCTCGGCCAAAAAGTTGCACTTAAGTGCCAAAATCTGCAATTCATTGACTGGTCACTTGGGGCTGGCTCCAAAACAGAGCAAATTCCCATAACTCCCATGTTAAAATGCCTAACTCTACAGCTAAAATAAACATGTTTACAGCCTGGTACAAAGATGGTTTTGGTCCCTATGGCTTATTCCACCATTTATGACAACTGAATCTTTTCTATTACTATCCTGTTTAAATGTTATTAAGGCTTAAAGTTCTGTATAATTAAGGGTGTGGCCACTTTGACTGGCTTTCTGCTAGGGCTTACTGCAGGCCACTCACCCCTTTGGAGATTTTTTTGTACAAATATTGGTCAAATAATAAGGCTTGCTGTGAAGATAGCTGTACTTACAGACTGTCCAAGATACCAGTGATCCAGTTTTTCAGTGAGTGACATTCTATTATCATTTTATTCATATATTATCATTAATTAGCAGGTATTGTCTGACTTGTTAGCTCGTTATCTCAATATCTAGCCAGCTAACTGGCATGCACTAAAGTCAAATTAGAATTTAGGGTGATAATACTTCTAAAAAAAGGGCGTCTGTGTGAGTTTGGAAGAAAAAGCTCCACTATATTACCATTAGTTAGCTAAAGTTATGCTATTTTCTTCACCACAGAGTTGGTTTATGTTGCATTATGCTGCAGTGTGTGTGTTGGCCAGCCAGTTTCATTTATTAACATTCCTGCTCAGTAATGTAACTTTAGTCTCTGGGTAATAGCATAAAAACCATTCACAATAAACTTCATATTTATCCCACAATTTAAGCCACTAAAATTAAAACAAGCTCTCAGCTGCTGCATTTTGTGAAGATAAATTCCATGTTAACTTTAGTGTGTGCTGTACTGTAGACTGTCCAGGTGCTACACTGCCCTCACAGTTGAATTCCATCTGTCTAGTTCTGTCAATATCATGTTATTAATCAACATTTAGATCATCAATTATTGAAATTTGCGAATCAATGCAGAATCATCCACGATGCATTGCAATGCATCTAAGCATTGATTATTTCCCACACCCCTATTTGTGACCTACAGAATTTAGTAGGTAGAGTGTTTTGGAGGGCAGTACAACTTATGGAGGGATGCACTAGTTGTGAGGCTCAGTACAGGCAAAGACAGCATATTTGTCTCTGCTTGATAGGTGCATTTACCCTTTACTCCATTATTCTAATATACCTGCAACAGCAAATTTCCAGACCTCTTGTCAAATCTTGTAAAAACAAGACCTGGTCATATTATAGCAGAAGAATCACTTCAGACCAAGTTTACAGCAGTAACATCAAAGTCTGATTATGCCTTAAATGTATTTTCATATGCATACATCTGTGCAGGTTGAAAATGTTTTAACTTGAGTGAAACATTTGCAGTTGTTTAAGCTTGTATAACTCCATTTATGGATGTACAGAGACAATAGGAAAAGATAAGAGAGATTAGAGCTCCTGATTAGTTTTGACATCATAAACACTTGACAAACACAGTGATTAGTGCATACTTCGCCAACAAGCTGCTACAGCTAACATCTGCACAGCCGGTACATTTTCCTGTTTTGTCAAAAATAATTCAGCAGTTGAATTTGTTTGAATAAAGGTAGGTGGGAATTCACCTCGTATTCAAGTCACACCCTAAAAATTAGCATAGGCTGCTGCATGTAATTTAAACATATCATCAGGAAACTAATGTTTTTCAGCTGTCCCACCTTGGTTCTGAGCATTTCAGGTGACCATCTCCTATTACTTGCATCTCAAAGACAAACAGATATTTTCTGTCTTATTAACCAATTGTCTTTCATTGATCTTTTCCAAACCTTAAAGGTCAGGAAACACAGTTGCCAACTTTGAGGCAGCTGTCAGCATCAAATTGAAGACTTCTAAACTTCAAGAGACTGTGAAAAATCTGGAAACCAAACTTAAAGCTGCTGTTCAGGTCGAAACTGAAGGTCAGTATAAAGGTGTTGCTGTTAATGCCATTTACTCATGTCATGTTAGCTTAACTATTTATTAGTGCATGCTCTCAATATACTGCTGTATTGTTGCAATGAGTGTATTTGGCCATGATGCATTAGAATTAGGACTCATTATCTTTGTTTTTTATTAAAAAAATTTAAATCCAGGAATCTATTTGTGTTTTGTTAATTAAATAAATTACAACAGAATAATATAAAATGTGTAATACCGTATCTTAAAAACGCTGATGCTAACACAGTAAGAGGGACCATTGCATCTGGGGTGTAATCAGCAGCATTTTGCATTTTATACCTTATTTTTATCTTTGCTTTCCATCCCCTGACCTTTGCTTATTGCAAGAACTGATTGTGCAGTTAACTGCTGCCAACAGGACTGGATGTGTCAATAAATCAATCAATCAATCAATCACTTTTATTTATATAGCCCAATATCACAAATCACAATTTGCCTCACAGGGCTTTACAGCATACAGACCTCCCTCTGTCCTTAGGACCCTCACAGCGGATAAGGAAGAACTCCCCCAAACAAAACCTTTAACGGGGGAAAAAATGGTAGAAACCTCAGGAAGAACAACTGAGGAGGGATCCCTCTTCCAGGACGGACAGATGTGCAATAGATGTCGTACAGAACAGATCAACATGATAAATGAACAGTAATCTGTATGACACAATGAGACAGAAAGAGAGACAGAGACAGAGACAGAGAGAGACAGAGAGAGATGCAGGACAGACAGTATCGGTAATAGCTTACAACAACATTAATGAAAGTAATAATATTATAATTATAATTCCGGCTATTGTGGTACAATATGTTGATATCTGATAGTATACGGTGACAATAATCATATGTATATAATAACAGTAGAAGTATGACTAATGATAACAGCAGCAGCAGGAGGCATCTGGCAGGACCACGGCAGCAGCACAACCACACACGTCACACTATCCAGGCACCACTGTAGAGAGAGAGAGAGAGAGAGAGAGAGAGAGAGAGAGAGAGAGAGAGAGAGAGAGAGAGCAGGTGCTCTGTGTATTATAGGAGGTCCCCCGGCAGACTAGGCCTAAATCAACCTAATTAGGGGCTGGTACAAGGCAAGCCTGAGGCGGCCCTAACTATAAGCTTTATCAAAGAGGAAAGTCTTAAGTCTAGTCTTAAATGTGGAGACGGTGTCTGCCTCTTGGACCGTAACAGGAAGATGATTCCACAGGAGAGGAGCCTGATAGCTGAAGGCTCTGGCTCCTGATCTACTTTTGGAGACTTTAGGGACCATGAGTAACCCTGTACTCTCTGAGCGCAGTGTTCTGGTGGGATAATATGGCACTATGAGCTCTCTAAGATATGACAGAGTTTGACCATTTAGAGTTTTATAAGTTAACAGTAGGATTTTAAATTCAATTCTGGATTTTACAGGGAGCCAGTGCAGAGAAGTTAAAACAGGAGAAATATGATCTTGTTTCTTAGTTCCTGTTAGTACACGTGCTGCTGCATTCTGAATTAGCTGGAGAGTTTTTAAAGACTTATTAGAGCTACCTGATAATGAATTGTTTGGGGCCAAGAACAATAACTTAAGTTTTGTCTGAATTTAACATAAGGAAATTTGTGCTCATTCAGGTTTTTATGTCTTTAAGGCAATTATGAAGTTTAGTTAATTGATTGGCTTCATCGATAAATACAATTGTGTATCATCCGCATAACAATGGAAATTTACAGAGTGATTTCTAATGATGTTACCTAAAGGAAGCATATATAGAGTAAATAGGATTGGTCCGATCACAGAACCTCGTGGAACTCCAAAACAAACTTTAGTATGTAAGGATAATTCATCGTGAACATGAACAAACTGAAAACGATCAGATAAATAAGATTTAAACCAGCTTAGTGCAGAACCTTTTAGGCCAATTAAGTTTTCCAGTCTCTGGAGCAGAATGTGATGGTCAATTGTGTCAAACGCCGCACTAAGATCTAATAAAACAAGTACAGAGACTAGTCCTTTGTCTGAAGCAATCAGAAGGTCATTTGTAATTTTAACTAGTGCTGTCTCAGTGCTATGATGCATTCTAAATTCTGACTGAAATTCCTCAAATAAATTATTATCATGGAGAAATCACACAGCTGGTCTGTGACTACTTTCTCAAGGATCTTTGAAAGAAAGGGAAGATTAGATATTGGTCTATAGTTGGCTAACACCTCTGGATCCAGGGTGGGCTTTTTTAGTAGAGGTTTAATTACAGCTACCTTAAAAGACTGTGGTACATAGCCTGTTAATAAGGATAGATTGATCATATCTAATATATGAGTGTTAACTAAAGGTAAGACCTCCTTAAGTAGCCTAGTTGGGATGGGGTCTAAGAGACACATTGTTGATTTAGATGAAGAAATCACTGCGGTCAATTGTTGAGGAGGAATCGAGGAGAAGCTATCTAAATATATATTATGTCCTACAGCTGTGTTTGAGGTTAGATAGGTAGGCCTACTATCTGAGGACAGGAGGTCATGAATTTTGCCTCTAATAGTTAGAATTTTGTCATTAAAAAAGCTCATAAAATGATTACTGCTAAGGGCTGAAGGAAAACAAGGCTCAATAGACAATTTAACATCTGGGTGATAATCGTTCCAAACTGATCAAAAATAGTGATCCTCTAACACAGTACATGTTTAGGCACTCAAGAAACCAGGTTATTTAGAGAAAGCAAGTTACGAAAGTAATCAGATACAATGTTTCCAATCCATACTAAATCCATGTATACATGCAGCAAGTCTTCCTTGATGATTTTAACTATACTCTCCTGAGACCCAGGTTTATGTTTGGTATGCCGTTTTAATCTCTCTTAGCTCTTTGGAATGAAAAGGACCTAATAAATATAAAAAACTTAGAATTGTCTTTGAACAGAAAGTAGTTTTTGGACAAAATGATGTCATCATATGGCAACAATGGCTTATATGGCATAACAGCATCTTAGTGTGTTACTATTGTTAAAATTGGCCATATCAAAGTACAAACTTTATTATGCATAAAAAACAATTTTGAACCCTAAAACTTGATCAGGTTGTGTACCTTGTCCACTTTTGTGTCAGAATCCGCTGCAGACCTGACTTGGCAGAGATGGCTGTTATCTTGTTTTTAGATGGCTTAGTGTGTTGTGCTCTTACTACCACCAGATGGTATGAAAGTGTCCATGAAGTTCATCTGTTTTCAGACAACAGATCACATATAACATATGATTGTGGCTCATAAATATTATGTTGTCAAGCTGCTAAGCTCCCAATATAATCATTATTTTACATGAAAAATACAGGTTAATAATGGCAGCTGTGCTGTGAGATTGGTTATAATGAGATGTATAATGAATGATGACAGAGATTTTAAGAAAACAAAAGGTTGTCATATTTAAGTACAACAGAAAGTCAAGCCAAGTCAATTCTAATTATGTAGCCCAATATCATAAATGAAAAATTTGTCTCAGTGAGCTGCTGTGCATTTAAATCATTACATTGCATGTAAATCATTAAAAAATATTGGCAAAGGATCTCTAAACTGTGTTGTTAATATTGCTGCTCCATTTCTGAAATGTTTTAGAGGACACTAAGAGCGCAACAGAGTCATTACTGACCTGGAGCCCACCTGAATACGGATGGAGTATATTCAAATGTTTCATATCCCTAAAATATTTTACAGCGTAAGATATAAGGTTGTGTAAGTTAATAAACCAGAACAATTGATAAAAGTCTTTGTAAAAGTCTTTGTAAAAGTCATTGTGTCATAAATGTAAAAAATACAAAAAGTGGCTATGTTTAACCAAATCTGCAAAAAATGAATAAATAAACACACAAAACAAACATTGATCCAAAAGTTTCTAAATGTAGAATCATGCTCAAAAAAATTCTCAACATTCAGTTAGTTATCTGAACGTGTGCATTTTTAAAAGTTTGAGCTTTGAGTGCAAAGATGTTTTGATAGTTTCATCTGTAGTAGAAACAATTCCCCAGTGCCTACATTGTTGTTGTTTTTTGGGGGGGTATTTCATATCCCTAAAATCTGTACACCCTAAAAGGTAAAAGGTTGTGTAAGTCAATAAACAGTAATAATTGATGAGTATTTAATTTATGTCATTAAAAACAATTAATAAATACAACAGACATTCCTATCAACCTGCTTCTCTGCTCTTCTGGCAGCACAACACTTTTTCACTGACTTTTGGACCACTTATCTTATAGCATAATGATGTCATCACAAGCACACAACATGATGGTGCAAAAGACCTAGTTATCTGCTGCAAAATACAATTTATGCTCTCGCTATTGGATCAATTTTAAACAGGGTTGTGTAAACAATGATCTCCTGCTGCCATGACGGGACAATGTTGTGGCATCAGCACACATTTTCAAAGTCACTGGACTGCTTGTGGCATAACGTAATGACGTCATTGCAAACATACATGATGGCGCAAAAGGCAGAAGTCTTGGCTTTCTGTTGCAAAAAGAATGAATGCTCTAGTTCTTATAGGTTCCAATTTTAGATTTTTCAGACAGCATCATGAAAACAACAATCCCAAAGCTGCCTATTGGAGATCTGATTTCAGATTGTTAATACAAGAAGCATTCTTTTTGCCACTGGTCTGTGAAAAAGACCAAAAGTCTGAACTGGTCTCTAGAAGCTGGACTGTTCATCACATCCCATGATATACTGCAGAAGTGATGGATGAACAATTAATAGTTTGATGATTTGGCTAAGGTTGAGGTAATAAAAATGTAAGGTCATGATTAGCCACGTGGGAGCATGAATGTACTCATGCAAATCTACGTTGTAAGTTAAGAAATATATTCTGTGCAAATTTAACAAACTGGAAAGAGTTCATCATCATGCTGTTGGAAGATATAGTAAAGGCCAGAGTTTGTGACAAACATGAGTATTAATTCCCTAGCAACAATATGCAGATATCTTGATTTTTTAAAATTGGTCAAAGTAGTCACCATGAGTATGCATCATGGAGATGGAACCAGAAGGCACTGAGGTATCTTGCTTCATATCAAAGTCTTGGATAGACAAATGACAGTAGGGACTTATAAACCAATGGACTGACATTAGGCGTCATGTGGCAGTAACAGTTATGAGGTAGTAACAGTGCCAAAACAATGTCTGTATATACAAGATAGCCAGCAGGACGGGATCATGGGCAGCACAGGTGTGATGTTTTCACGACGTCCCAGGGATGCAACCCTCCGAGGATGATTTTAAAATTAGCAGTTAGCAGCTAACTCAAAGAAGAAGAACAGCGACTGAAAATGTCCACAAATTGGGAAAACAATGAGGTCCAGGAGCCTTACCCTCCAAGCAGGAGACAAGATCAGCCACAATATAACTGGGATGATTGTTGAATGATTGTTATTACAATGTTCATGCCACTGTTAATGTTAATACTGCTCTGCCAACACATATTTATGTTATATGTCACACAAGAGGCCAATGCTGTTTTGTTACAATGCTGTTTCTTTCTTTTCCATGATGCCAGGATGCTGGCTAAAATCACACAAGGGAGCAGCATGATGCCGCTGTTGTTAACTTCTGTGTAAAAATATAAAAGAGTCATGAAGAAGGGACTTTGTAGCAGCTCTATTGCCCACACTCTGTGTAAAAAGTACCATAAAAAGGCTTTACCACTTCTAACCTAATCATACTTATTGTGTTGCGTAGGAATGGTCACCATAGAGTCCCCAGAGTCTGCAGTGTGCTACGAGTCTGAGCCTGAACTGAAATGCACATTGGAGGAGAAGACAGACAGCAGTGGCTGGAACATGAGCAGGCAAGATAGTCGCTTTGAGCTCAGCGAGGGCAGCGTGGTGAAACTGAACCACACATGTACCACAAAGGAAAACATGTCTTGTGTTGCAGTCAAACTCCAGAAGGTGACAGGCATCTGGGCAGGCAAGTACAAAATTGATTCTTGCTAAAAATCAATTGAAATTAAAATTATTTTTTGCAGAGGTATACTTTGTGTTTCATCATCACTTTATTAGCCAGACACAGGGTCCAAATCATGACATACACACACAAGACACATAGTAGGGTAAAAGAAAACAAACAAACAAAAAAAACATCAGTGGGGACTATCCCCTAGGAGACACTTGTACCAATGCTTCCCCAGTGGTGACTGATACCTAACATCACTACATCTGGGACTCACTAGCGCATTAACAATATAGTTCTGGGACTCATCTAGACGGCAAATAAACGTATACATTAGAATCCTTAACAGTGCCTTCAGGGTGCTGACCCCTGCATTACAGAACAGGTGACTAGCGCTGGATGACCTGGGTCTCTTAAGCAGAATTCTAAAACAATCATTGTATGCGACCTGTAGTCTCTGCATACTTGCCTTTTTATACACTGTCCATAAAGGAGCAGTATACAGAGGGGTCCAATATGTTTTGAACAGTCTCATGTTAACATCATGTGTGCACATGTGAAATTTCCTGGTCAACATGTTTGCTTGGGCATATAACACTGTCTGTAGATGTCATCATCATCATGCATGTTGTCAGTAATGTAGTGTCCCAAATATTTAGTCTTCTTTGAGACTTTCAATACTTGACCAGACAGATAGAAGTTCGAGAAACACAGATCTTTGTCCCCTTTTGATATACATATCAAGACAACACTCTTTCTAGCATTGTACTGAACATCATATTCTACCCCATATTCAGAACAAATATTCAATAAATGCTGAAAGTCAGCAGTGCTTGGTGAAAGAATGGGCAAGTCGCCAGCATACATAAAATGATTTACCAGGGTGTTACCAATCATACAGCCTGTTTTACACCCACTCAATTTCTTGGATAGTTCATCCATGTACAGGTTGAAAAGGGCAGGTGTAAGTAGCCCCCCTGGCGTACTCCATTGGCCACCCCAAATGAGGAAGAGAGACATTTACCCCATTTTACCTGCATTCTCTGTTTGGCATACCAAAAAGCTAAAATCCTTATAATGCTACCAGGAGCACCCCTTTGACGTAATTTCTGAAACAGTTTAAAATGGTTAACACGATCAAATGCCTTAGAGGCATCAATAAAACCAATTACTGTGTGCCAAGCTTAGCCTTAAAGCCAAACTGATTGTGTGTGGTGTCAATATAATGACTTAAGCGGTCAAGCAAAATCCTTTCAAGGACCTTGGATACCACGCTGGCTAAAGCAATTGGCTTATAGTTGTCTATACTACCAACTTTGCCAGCTTTGTCCGTAATAACTGGCACAAGAGTGACGGACAGTATAGAGTCAAACAGCAGCCCATGTGTCATGAACCCAGTAAAACACATGGCAAGTAATGCTGCAGCCTTAGGACTTGCAAATTTAAGGTGTTCAGCTGTGATATGATCAGAACCACTGGCTTTCTTCTCAGAGAGCTGTTTTATGGCCTTGTCCACTACACTTTCCACAATGTATGGGGCACTCTTAATGCTATTAAAAAGAGCAGAATAGTGTTGTTGCCAGATTGCGGCTATATTATCAGCATCAGAGATACCCTCTATGACACTGGGGGTTGAAATATTGGTCTTATTTAAGGCTGTCACCTCCTTCCAAAACTCAGTGATATTATTACATTATAGCTTATCAGCCATTGCATTCGCTCTCACGGCCTGTTCATGTTTGGCAATGTAACGGTAGCATATTTGTATCTAGCATTGGTAAGCTTTTTATTTTCCAGTAGGGGCCCATTCCTGGGTCTGCCAGCTAGTACCCAAGCCTTATAGGCCTCTTTAGCTACTTCATCTTGTGCTGCCACATATCTGCACTAGCCAGGCTTAATGTTGTGTCTGTCTTGGGGCGCCGGTGGCTTAGTGGCAGAGCAGGTGCCCCATGTACAAGGCTAATGCCGGGTTCAAATCCAGCCTGTGGCCCTTTGGTGCATGTCATCCCCCCTCTCTCTCCCCCTTCACACTTACCTGTCCTGTCCAATAAAGGCAAAATGGCCAAAAAATATCTTTTAAATTAATGTTGTGTCTCTTATTAGTGCTTCTACTAAAGTATGTTTTACTAGACTCATACACAGCATCCACAATACTGCCATACATGTCACAAAGGGCTTTACCATGGGAGATGTCCTTGAAGTTAGCGTCTACACACATAATGGCATTTCGGGGTAAGCAGACATTACTTAGCAAAGCATCAGTTTTCATAAAATATGTCAATAGATCATCATCTGTAAGCTTTGCCCAGTCTAATTTGGCCTTGCAGCCATCACCCCCTTCATGAGTCAGCTCAGGAAGGCACTCAGCATAAAATATCATAGCAATCAGCACATGATCAGACAAGGTTGTTTCATATAGAATTTCCATAGACTGTAGAGCTGCATGGGCATCAGCAGTACTGATGCCATGATGTTGTGTGCCAAGCCTCACTTATATAAGAATAACTGCCTGAAGGTAAGAGCAATTAGCTTGATAAAATAAGATTACTGTCCTCACAAAATGGTAGCATATGCTTGGCAAATAGGGACTGGCCATCTGAGAGGTCAGCATTCATATCACCAACTACACACACATTAGTAAAATTATGTTCCTGAATGAAGGAGTTAATAAAACCAAGCCTGTCCATGTAAATATGTTCATTCTGTGGACACTCATATGGCGTATAAACATTAAGAATAATAAGATCCTTGTTTCCAAACTTAAGTTGAACAGCAATACACCAGTCAACCTCAGTCTGGATGACATTTATTACAGAATCCAACTTTTTGTGCCACAGGATGGCCACACCCCCTGGTATCCTCCCTCTCACTATTCCCATAGTAAGATCAGTTGTGGATTCCCTAGCACCGTGAAAGTTCACATCAAAACAATTCAATTTTCCTAAACGTTTCTTATAAACAGAAAATATCACATCTTTGGAGAAAATTGTCTATGACTACGAGCCTTATTGCCTGCGCCATTGCCAACACGCAACCTCCAGTTATATGACACCACGCGCATAGTCTCTTATGAAGATAGCGCAGCGGCATCTCCGGCAGACACCGCAGCAACAACAAGTGTGGAGGTGGTCTTGCTGGACCCTGTAGCACCTGCCTTTCGAGGCTCATAATATCGCCGCACGACAGAGCCCTCAGGCCATAGTTCAGGTCTATATCTCTGTCACTTCTTTACATTCCACACACACTTTAAAAGAGCTGTATCTAGTGTTGACAGTGTTAATGCGTTCACACAAAACATCACGGCCAAGTTTATCTTTGAGATAATTAGCTAGTGTCACTGTTTCAAGGTCTGGAGAGAATTTGGTGGCAAAAACGCTTACCAGCTTCGTTCGTACCACCTTGATATTACTTTGCCCTCCTGTGCCATTGATAGGCTTGGGCCTCTTCTGGGCACCGCCACCGTTCACTGCACACTGCTTCATCAGCTCTGCTCGATTCTCAAACCTCTTGCACCGGCCTTTTCTTAACACGTAACTCCATTTTGGTGAGTTCAGAGGTGCAGCTGTACCTTCTGGGCTCCCATTCCCCATGTCGTGTGCGCCATCTGTCATCGCTGTAGGTGAGGTTGATGACGAACCACTAGCCCGAATTCGTCCACAGAGCTGACAGTAGTCGTAGACGGGTCTCCCCCAGAGTGACCCCCAGCCCCAACATGGACGCTGGGTCCGGTAAATCCACCGTCATTTGTCCCATCCAGACCAGCGCCCTTGACTCGGGTCTGCGGCAGCCGCGTCTCCAATACAGCAACTCTGCTCTCAATGCTGGAGGGCACAGAGTGCAAGTCCTCGCCAACATCCGTGTTTTACTGCATGTCTCAGGGCGCAGACCTCACTTTGCAGCCACTCTATCTTGCGTAGTAAGCTGGAGATATCCATGTTGTTGATTGTCACGGGCAGCAGCTCTTCAAGATAGTGCGAAACAAACCGTGGAACGTTTTCCCCGTCTGGCACCTTACTCACATTACTTTAACGTGTACCTCAAAAACTGTTGTTTACTTTCCAGATTAATTATGAACATAAATGAAAACAGTTAAATGTATTTATGCTAAGCAGTCAAATGATTTAGCTTTTTTGAAGTTTCAACAGTTTAACATGATTAATCAAATTTTTTATCACATTACAAATTCCATTATTTTGCATTTCAAAACAGTTTTGAAGTCCATATTAACAAGATGAAGCAATTCTTATCACAGTGTTTTGATTGGGAATCAAATGAATGCAATGAAACTTTCCTTATCTTGACTTTTAGATTTATTTCTTTTATATGAGTGTGGCACCATGACTTAAGGCCCTGACACACCAAGCCGTCATTTGGCCGTCGGTCAAAGTCGGGCCATCGGTGAGTGTCTGTCGCCCTAGTTTTTGCGGTGGCCGCGCCGTCGGCACTTCAGCGTCGGCGGCTTTTCGGCCGATGACGCTTGCTGAATCGGCGGCGGAGCTTGTCAGTGAGAGAGATCACTCTGTTTGGATGTTCAGGTTTTATTTCCTCGCCCCTGTAGCGAGTGAATCTGCCTGTAGTGAAACCGGGGCTAACCAGTGCTTCCTCCTCAGGCTCCGCAGCTACTCAGCTGCCTGGCAGACCCGCTGCTTCTTCCCACTTTAACCTGAATAACAAACCGGGGGCTAGCTGTGAGGCTAGCGGAGCTCTCCGTTTGGATCCAACCGGAGCACCGAGCCCCGGTTTGTTATTCAGGTTAAAGTGGGAAGAAGCAGCAGGTTTGTCGGGCAGCTGAGTAAAGTGGAGCCTGCAGAGGAAACACCGGGACGTCTGGATGTAATAGTCTGTGGAGGTGCTGCGGTGCTCAGCTGCACAGATAGGAAACCCCTCGACTGACAGGATGTACCACTCTCTTACTCCTCTACTTTGTTTATATCATGCATTCCTCAGACTTCCTCGGACTTCTGGTTTTGCCTCTCATGCAGGCACAGAACATACATGCTACTTGGCCGTCAAATGTAGTCCGTGTAGTGTGTTCAAATGCAACTGACACAGGGCGACGTGAGGCAACGTAGACAACGCAACAGTTGGCTTTCGTCACCGCTAGTTCTTTGATGTCGGTTTGGTGTGTCAGCACCTTTAGAGGTAATAGACAACTTCAAAGTGCGTAGTCTGTCAAATAAAGTGTTTGTTTGTTTCCTTTTTTTTCTAGGATTGAACTGTTCCAGTTGTGTTTCTTAGTTACTTACATATATTTTGATTACTTACTGACGTCTAATGATCCCCAGTTAGTGCAACAGCATTCGCACTTTTCAGGAGTTCCTGTTTAGTCGCTTTCTGTGTGAAACTATTCCCCACAATGGTAAGACATATGACTGGCCACAACATGTCAACCTGAGCACATCCCCTTAATACATAACATACACTAATCCATCTATTGAGTACAGCATACCATACCATGACTTAGTCATACCAAAAATTAGAAAAAAACAACAACATTTGGCCACAGGGGGAGCCACAGTGATCAGTCGCATTTTAGCCATTTTTAAGCATTTTTCTGTTGTTATAGCGCCACCCAGTTGCCAATTAGAGTTAAATTTCTCCAGTCACCTTGAGGCGTCCTGTTCTACATATCTACCAAGTTTAGTAGTTAGACCTAGATAAGAAATTAGCTATCTAGTGGCCCTATTTTGTTTGATCGGGTCAATAATAGAGGGGTCCCCTCAGATTATGTGTGGTCACATGCCTACAAAGTTGTGTGGTGATCGGTGAAACCCTTGAGAGGTTTAAGTGATAAGCCAGGCCCTCCTCAATATTCATTGCCTTATAGAAGCTCAGTTTTAGTAAGTTTTCCAACTTTTGCCAAGAGGGAACTTTAGATATTGGTCCCTAGATTATGTTCACCCAGTTTCATGCAGATTGGTCAAACTTCCTAGGAAGAAATCGATTTTAAGCGTTTTTCAAAAAATTCAAAATGGTGGAAAATCTCTATAACCGGAAGTTATGGCTTCTTGGGGCAAATTTGTTCCTCATGAGGAGAGGCATCTCTGTTCAAAGTTTCATGTCTCTATGGTCTATGGGTTTCTGTGAAGTGCTGTCTGACTCAAGTCTGACTCAAACACACTCAAAAGACACCTACAATACACATTAAACATGGCTTGATTGAAATTCTTTAAAACACGAGTACACAAATCGGCGTCATAATAACTTGCAAGATTCCCATACAAAGCATTTGTCTTTTGCTGGACACATTTTTCCCACAATTACAACATGCTAACATGATAAGCATAAGCCTATGGCATTTTACATTGTATTAATTAGCCTAGTGGCTAGCAGAGTTTTCCTCTACTCATATGAAGCCAAGGACAACAGCAACATTTAACAAAGGAGACGTTACATATCTGGTTAAATTACTACTCACAAGGTTCACTGACAAATGTATTGAATCCGTGTATCATTCGTTCATTCGTTTTTCAAAATAAAACCAAATATGAAAAAACAAAATAATGACTTGTTTTTTCAATATTTGTTTCCAGAACCAAAATGAAAAAACGGATAACGACTCGTTTTCCGATTTCCGATTTTCTGTTTAAATGGAAAATGGATAATGGGCCAGATTCGGGCCTTTCATGCACTTTCAATATTTTCATCTCTCCGGAAGCCAAGTTTTTTTCTTTTGCAAGCACTGGTTTCTTGTCGGACCGGTCGGAGTGACAACTACATCCGGTTCATGGAAGCTAACGCTTTGGCTAACAACCGCTGCGTGTGGAGGCTGCAAATTTGGAGAAATTGTTCAATATGCTGTAAGTTGTGCTAAGGTAACAATACGTGCCAGCTTACTGTTTGCTTCTACAGCTGACATATTGGAATAGACTTCATGTGGCGAGTAATTTTTACGCTATTTGAAGATTTATGTTTGTCGTGATTCACGAATTTGCCACAATCAGCCATAACGGCAGCATAGATGGTAAAAAATAAATAAATAAATAATAATAATATTAAAACACATTTCCCATCACAGGTACGTAGATTTTATTGATGCCACACAATTATTTTCAATGTCCTGACTATAACACCAACTATTATAATCCAGTGTGAAACAGAGCTCAAGCTTTTCACTTAGAACACTGGTGCTAGGAAGAGCATCGTGATTTCCATCAGTCTTCATCGCTGCTGCTCCTGTTGTCAGTACTAGCCTACTGCTGCTTTCATCACCTGGTGTAGAAAAAAGAAATCACTGTATAAGAGTGCAAACATTTTTATCTACATTATATACACATCTTGTACACATGGTTACATTCACAAACATATGGCCATGTGTAAACTGCAAAAAGCTGAAACTCTACACGAAATTATAGCATTATTACTGCTGTTTTTCTATAAGATTATCTATTTGGCCTGTTGCTTTAGGACAGCATGAAGTGGGGAAATAGAGAATGGGGGAATGACACGGGCCGCAGGCTGGGATCGAGTCCGCGACCGCTTCGGCGAGTCGGTGCCTCTTTGCATAGGGTCTGTGCATGCTGCGTACAGACTACACTCCTGACCAGGTGATGAAACCGGCAGCAATAGGGGCATCGGTAGCTTAGTGGATAGTGCCGACGTGGTGTAGGAGTGTAGTCTTTATCACTATCCCCGCTGTCAAGACAGCTGTCGTCACTTTCGACTGGTGGAACCCTGGTTTGAAGTCCATCTAGTCGTTTCCCATAGAACACTGATGCATTCATTTTGTCTGTGCTGTGGAAAAGTACAAACAATGCATTTATATCCCAGCATGCTACTTTTATAATGTTTATAGAAATTAACTAGAGTGGCGTTTCCCAAAGAAAATACATGTGAGTGCTGAAATCCACCCAAATATAGCATTATTTCTATGCTGCCGTTATGTCTGAATGTGGCGAATTCGTGAGTCGCGACAAACAATAAATCTTCAAATAGCGTAAAAATTACTCGCCACATGAAGTCTATTCCAATATGTCAGCTGTAGAAGCAAACAGTAAGCTGGCACGTATTGTTACCTTAGCACAACTTACAGCATATTGAACAATTTCTCCAAATTTGCAGCCTCCACACGCAGCGGTCGTTAGCCAAAGCGTTAGCTTCCATGAACCGGATGTAGCTGTCACTCCGACTGGTCCGACAAGAAACCAGTGCTTGCAAAAGAAAAAACTTGGCTTCCTGAGAGATGAAAATATTGAAAGTGCATGAAAGGCCCGAATCTGGCCCGTTATCCGTTTTTTCCATTTTCCATTTAAACAGAAAATCGGAAATCGGAAAACGAGTCGTTATCCGTTTTTTCATTTTGGTTCTGGAAACAAATATTGAAAAAACAAGTCATTATTTTGTTTTTTCATATTTGGTTTTATTTTGAATAAAGAATGAACGAATGATACACGGACTGTATTGTCTTATCCTAGACATGTTTTCCACACTAATACCACATGCTAACAATAGCCTATGGCATTTTAGATTTTAAATTAGCCTAGTTTAGCCTACTAGCAGTTTTTCTCCAATCACATGAAGCCAGGATAAATCACACACTTAAAATGAAGGTCTGCAGTCAGTCTCCACAGGTCTATCGCAATTCCAAAATAGTATTTTGCCAGAGCTGGCCATACAGTTGCCCACAGTGCACAATGGTGTCTTATTTTCCCTCCCTGCGGCAGCAGAAAACAGGGAGCTGTGGCTCTGTGTCCACACGGACTCTGCTTTTAGTTTTAGCATTTCTGTTTATTGGAATTGTTGAATTCCAAGACAAATCTGCTAGTGACACTTCTGATTTGAGTCATCTGTTTTTTTCATCATGTCCCCTGCAGGCTTATACGAGTGCGGATTCACCAAGGGGTCAGTCAGGCACACAGCCAAGACAGAGCTGAAAGTGGCACTCCTACCTGATGAGATCACCATGATGATCAACCCTCTTACAACAGACTGTAGCACTGAACAGAATTTGTCTCGAAATATAATGGCCAATGCCACCATCCTTAAAAGCAACGAGACCTATAAAGTTCTGTGGACCTACATGAATAAAACTCAGTCTATTTCAAATATCATGAGTAAGACAAACTTACAGTATCTATCTGTCCTTTTTCCCTCCTTATGTTGGCTACAGCATACAACACTACTTTAATTGATAATGTCAATGCAGATTTAAATTCACAATACTTTTACAAAATGCATGTATATTTCTACAACCACAAACCTGACCCTGAAACTACTATTCATCTTTCTTTACAGCTGTTGGAGATAATCTGGTCTATACTGTTAATGTTTCTGTCAACTGCATTAGCCCTAAACAAAGTGTTAATATCACTTTTAAGAACACGAAGAACCAAGAAAAATCTGCAAGTGTGGATATCCCAGTAATTTATGGTAACTGAAATTGTGAATACTTTTAATTCTATTTAATCTGCTGTTTTTTTTTATTCAATTTAGGCTACGGTATAATAAAATATATTGTCACATTGTCAGAATAATTTATAACTTAGTTTATTCTATTTATTTGCAATGCCTTTTGCATCAGCTAATGATTTCTTGTATTTTTCTCCAAGATAGTGACAAAATTTGCAGTGACGAGAACCCTTGGCCAAAAACTCCAGCCGGAGCCACAGTGACAATTCAAACATGTACAGAGGACAGGGTTGGCAATAAGTCACGCACTTGTGGTCAGAATTCTGTTTGGCAGTCGGTGATCTCCAATTGCGTCAGTAAAGAGTTGAACAAAGTGTTAAATTCTGCAGATGTGAGTGTGGCATTACAGCTCATGACCTTAAAATTATGAGCTTCTATCTGACTTTTTTTGTATAACAATGCTTAGTCACATGGGAATAGTCGATGTTCTCAACATTTTTTATAAGTAGGGCTGGGTATCAGAACTCAATATCTTTAAGGTATCGACTGAAACAACCCATTACCAAGTAGTCCCAAAATTTCTCTAGATAAAGGATACCTGCATTTGATCCTTTTTTCACTGTGCCATCTCCCCGCCGGATCAGCAAACTTTCTCAAGATCTGCCTAGTCAGTAACATCCAACACCAAGCCATGAAACGATAACAACAAACTCACACCAGCACTGTGGCGGCTCGACTCAATCATTAAACCTGTTAATAATCATTAGGTAATGTTAAACATGGGATGCTAACAGTTAGCCCCATCACTAACTGTCTCCAGTAGAACTCCCACTCCCACAGCAGCAGCTACTGCATATGATGTATGTCATGTCACATGATGTATGTCACGTGATGTTACATTAATAGCAACTGAACTTAAACCTTTCAAACAAAAATTGACTAAAGCAATTTTTATACAACCTGTCACCTGATTCTAATTTCTGATGTATGAATTAACCTAACTGGATTGGTATAAGCATTAAAAAAAAATGTAGAAAATATAATGACTAAAAGTTGACTAAAATGCAATGAATTTTCATCATCTAAAATGTTTTAAATTTTCATTTACTATAACTATGTAGGATAAAAATGACTAAATTGTGACTAAAACTAATAAGCATTTTCATCTCAAGACTAAGACCAAATCTAAAATAGCTGTCAAAATTAACACTGGATCTAAGGCTAACTCTAAATATCTCATAATTCTCGTTAATAATGAATACATCGCTTTGTATATTAACACAAATATGATTAAACAGTGAACTTTTTCCAACAAAATCATAAAGCTTTAGCTGCTAAGGCTTTACACAAAACAATGAGATTTTGTTGAAAAAAGTAGACAGTCATCTATTTGCTAAGACTTAGCTGATAAAACCTTAATATTCAAAGAGAAAAATGAGTTATTATTAAAAGGGTTCTATGTGTCTACTTGATCTTGAAAATACCTTTTAAAATATAAAAGGATAAATTCATGTACTCAGAGTCATTTTAGGATGCCTGTTATTTTGACAAATAAAGAGATTTTTTTTTATGTATCAGTTGAAAATGTTGAACATTAGTATCTCAGATCAACTCAGATCACAGATGGAACCTCATGATTCCAAGGTCACCACTGTTAAGACTCCATCAACATTTTGAATGAGGATGTAATTTGTGTGCTTTTGCAAGTTGGTAACAGGAGATATTGTTTTTTTGTTTCTAGAACTTTGCAAAGGGACTTGGGGCTACACAGAAGGAGGCCAAGAATATATTTGAAGGACTTAAGAACAGCTCTACATTAAAGTCTGATTCCGATTTAATGGCTGACTTAAGCGCTTCCATCAATGTTCTTAATGTGATGGCCAGTGCATCAGAAAAGTTTGCCTTGCAAGAGGATGTCTTGCCGGTAAGTCCCTGTTGATTTATATATTTTATTGTAATATATGTGGAGTTTTATGTCTGAAGGTTCATGCTTGACCTTAGAAACAGCAGTTTGAAAAAAAATCTTTACAAGGGCCCAATCAATCAATCAATCAATCAATTTTATTAAGAACTGATTATGCAGTTAACTGACGCCAACAGGACTGGATGTGTCAATCAATCACTCAATCAACTTTATTTATAAGGCCCAATATCACAAATCACAATTTGCCTCACAGGGCTTTACAGCATACGACATCCCTCTGTCCTTTGGACCCTCACAGCGGATAAGGAAAAACTCCCCAAAAAAAACCCCTTTAATGGGGGAAAAAAAACGGTAGAAACCTCAGGAAGAGCAACTGAGGAGGGATCCCTCTTCCAGGACGGACAGACGTGCAATAGATGTCGTACAGAACAGATCAACATAATACAGTAACAGTAATCCGTATGACACAATGAGACAGAAAGAGAGAGAGACAGAGAGAGAGAGAGAGAGAGAGAGAGATGCAGGACAGACAGTGATGACAGTAGCTTACAACAACATTAATTAAAGTAATAATATTATAATAATAATTACGGCTATTGTGGTACAATATGTTGAAAGTATATATTAATATCTGATAGTATACATATGTGACAATAATCATATGTGTATCATAACAGTAGAAGTATGACTAATGATAACAGCAGCAGGAGACCCACATAGGTTGTTTGTTTTTTTCCCAAAGCTTTTAATGACATTTCATAGTCATCCTCACGTATGGTAGCGCATTTTCACCCTAACTTATCATAAATCTCCAATTTGTCTACAAACTTTGTCTGTGTCTCCATGTCTACATATGAGGTGCTAGGTATCTTCCTGTGGCTGCTTTTGTCATTCTGGGATGCTATATCAATTTACTTGTTACATGCATTGTGTCTTTTCAAAATACACTTATGTTTTCACAGGAAATGTGCACTTTCTGCTCATGAGATGCATAGTTGCAAAAAAAAAAAGTAAATCAGTAAAACACCTCATATTTATGTTTATCTACTTGTGCAACAAAAGTATGTTTAGAAAGGTTTAGAAAAAACATAATGATTTGGCTCAACATTCAGCAAACAGTCCTCATATGTTCGACCCAATCAGCTCTATGGGGACTTTCAGGCTCGTTACATTATGCTGTTACTTTTGCGTTGGCGTTGACGAGTGCCATTGCATTTTATCGGGACATCGGGAAAAATAGCATCGGGAAAAATAGCACCGGTTCAGATTTCCCCTGTTAATTTTTTTGTTTGTTTGTTTGTTTGTTTGTTAATCAAAATTACTGCAGTTACTGCAGCGAAGACCAACATTTTAATGTGTAGGAGATAGTGTCAGGTTTTCAGCTGACTAATTTCTGGATATCTGGCACTAGTGCTGTGCATTGGCAAGAATCTGGCGATATGATATGTATCATGATACAGTGGTTATGATTCAATATATTGCAACAGATTGCAATACTGTAAGAAAGGCGGTATGTTGAGATTTTTAAAAATCTAATGTAAGGAGAAGTGTCAGTGCCTGCAGTGCACCATTTATGATTCTGCCTGTTCGATAAGCCTCTGCTCTTTGTGTTTACACCGTCAATATGTTGTTGCGTTGGCGTGGAAAAGTCAAAAGACTTAAGATAGATTATAACGCTGAAGGATCTGGGGGTCTGGGGTTTAAACACAACAGAAAATGAATTGTTGCCATAAATCTTTGTATGTAAACTGTTAATTAAAAATGGATACAATATTTATGAGAATGCAGACATTATCACAAAATTTAATATTGCAATACTTAAGTGTATTGAAATTTAATTACATCTCTATAATCCAACTTTAAATATCTTTTAACTCCCTTCAGTATATTGATTTTGTGTTAGAAAAAAATATGATGAAACTGTCTACTTTTTCCAGCAAAATCACTGCTTTGTGTAAAGCCTTAGGCGATAGAACCTTCTATGGAGCTTTATCCCTATCTTTATTCAAATGAGTGTTCTATCTGTTTGAGAGCATTATTTATTGATTTCACGTTCAAAAACCCTGCCCTCGCACTCAAATAGCCTCTGCTTTTGCTTGGATCTGCTCTGTTTCTGCTCAAACTGTGTGCTCGCACTCAGATACCATGTTGCTCGCACAGATTTCCTGCTCAAGCTTCAGCTTTTCTCCTCGCACTCAAACTGTTTCTGTGCACTTTTGGAATTTCTGCTCTCAGATTTCTGCTTTGCGCTTGGATTTTTTTGTGTAACAACCCTGTCAAAATCCCCCAACCAATAGAATGCCAGATTTACTGTTGACCAATGAAATGATCCCTGCCTCTTTGAGGGAGTGATGTTGTACTGTATATCATAGACATATATACATAGACGCCACATTGACTGCCGCTGCCTATTGGAGCCGACGTCCTCGCCGGCCGCCATCTTGGATGGGTCTCGCTTCGCCTCCACAGTGCATTCACTTCTATTGAGGAAGGAGCTGTATGCACAAGTAAAATAGAATAACTCGCTGAATTTTCAACTGATTTTCACGCGGTTTGGTTTGTTACAAACGGCACACATGTAGTACAGGATGCTTTCGTACATTAAAAATGCGGGATTTCATGCTTTAATACTTTCTGCAGATAGCAGCAGCATGTTATTTAGATCACAACACAGTTCTTTTATTCACCTCAACCCCAGAGTTGGATATATATACAGTACAGGCCAAAAGTTTGGACACACCTTCTCATTCAATGCGTTTTCTTTATTTTCATGACTATTTACATTGTAGATTCTCACTGAAGGCATCAAAACTATGAATGAACACATGTGGAGTTATGTACTTAACAAAAAAAGGTGAAATAACTGAAAACATGTTTTATATTCTAGTTTCTTCAAAATAGCCACCCTTTGCTCTGATTACTGCTTTGCACACTCTTGGCATTCTCTCCATGAGCTTCAAGAGGTAGTCACCTGAAATGGTTT